GTTGTTTTGCCTTTTGTCTTCTCCTTCCCTTTGGTCCCCCCATCCGGCCCAGGATTTTTCCCTAAGAATTTATGCCTGCACTTCTCAGAGCCGTAGTTTCCCCAATTCTCTGTCTCTTCAGGGCCCTTTCTTTTAGACCTACTTGTTCCTGCCACTTCTCCATTCCTTCTTCTTTTTAAAAAATTTTAAATTAAAAAACAAAATAGAGATGGGATTTTACTATGTTGCCCAAGCTGGTCTCGAACTCTGGGGCTCATGCAAGCCTCCCACCCTGGCCTCCCAAAGTGCTAAGATTACAGGGATGAACCACTGTGCCCAGCTCCCTCTTATCTTCAATGTATTCCTTTGAGGTCCCCCACTTTGGCACCTAATTTTCTATTTTTTCTGGTTGGTGTTTGCCCACCCTTCCCAAATAATGGAACTGCCTTTATTCTGTCACCTCAATATCCTTTAGAGACGATAGCCAGTTCTCCCTTCTCTCTCCCTCCCCAAACTCTCCCTGGGCTCCTCTTGGGAGAAATCTGAGAGGCAGATGACTGAGCTGGAGCTGAAGGGTGGGGGAGGAAGCCAAGTTTCCCTGGCCCTTACTGACCACTCCTTTCCTCCCCAGAGACCTTGGCTAAGAGCATTGCCACCTTCTCAGACCCCTGTAAGGACCCCACGCGTATCACCTCCCCAAACGACCCCTGCCTCACTGGAAAGGGTGACTCCAGTGGCTTCAGCAGCTATAGTGGCTCCAGCAGTTCTGACAGCTCCATTTCCAGCGCCAGTGGCTCTAATAGTGGCTCCAGTGGATCCAGCGTCGCCCAGAGTGGCTCTTCCGGATCTTTTAAGCCAGGAACGGGGTATTCCCAGACCAGCTACTCCTCTGGATCTGCCTCTAGTCTACAAGGTGCGTCTGGATCCTCCCAGCTGGGCAGCAGCAGCTCTCAATCTGGAAGCAGCGGCTCTCACTCCGGAAGCAGCGGCTCTCACTCCGGAAGCAGCGGCTCTCACTCCGGAAGCAGCGGCTCTCATTCGTGGAGTAGCAGCTCTCATTCGAGCAGCAGCAGCTCGCATTCAGTCAGCAGCACCTACCACGTAGGGAATGGCTCTGCTCTGCCAACCAACAGCGATTCTTCCCGCATTATAAGACCTTCCCAGACCTCTGGGGCGTCCATCAGTGGCGGAAGTGCCAGCTCCAACCTGCGTCCCTGTAATTCGGACATCCCTGAATCTCCTTGCAGTGGCGGGCCTGTGGTCACGAAGGACTCCAGCCCCTACATCCCCAGCTCCCACTCTGTGTCAGGGGGTCAGAGGCCCGTGGTGGTGGTGGTGGAGCAGCACGGTTCTGGTGGTCCCGGAGTGGTTCCAGGTGCCCCCTGTAGCAATGGTGGCCTTCCAGGCAAGCCCTGCCCCCCAATCACCTCTGTAGACAAATCCTACGGTGGCTACGAGGTGGTGGGTGGCTCTTCTGACAGTTATCTGGTTCCAGGCATGACCTACAATAAGGGGAAAATCTACCCTGTGGGCTACTTCACCAAAGATAACCCTGTGAGAGGCTCTCCAGCAGTCCCTTCCTTTGCAGCTGGGCCCCCCATCTCTGAGGGCAAATACTTCTCCAGCAACCCCATCATCCCCAGCCAGTCGGGAGCTTCCTCGGCCATTGTGTTCCAGCCAGTGGGCACTGGTGGGGTGCAGCTCTGTGGAGGCGGCTCCACAGGCTCCAAGGGGCCCTGCTCGTCCTCCAGTTCTCAAGTCCACATCAGTTCTAGCGTTTCCAGCAGCTCCGGTTCACCCTACCATCCCTGCGGCAGTGCTTCCCAGAGCCCTTGCTCCCCACCAGGCACCGGCTCCTTTGGCAGCAGCTCCAGTTCCCAATCCAGTGCCAGAATCATCCTTCAGCCTTGTGGCAGCAAGTCCAGCTCTTCTGGCCACCCTTGCATGTCTGTCTCCTCAGTGACACTGACCGGGGGTCCCGATGGCTCTCCCCATCCTGATCCCTCTGCTGGTGCCAAGCCTTGTGGCTCCAGCAGTGCTGGAAAGATCCCCTGCCGCTCCATCCGGGATATCCTAGCCCAAGTGAAGCCTCTGGGGCCCCAGCTAGCTGACCCTGAAGTTTTCCTACCTCAGGGAGAGTTACTTGACAGCCCATAAGTCAGCGTTTGCATGTGTGCATGCCTGGGGCAGACACAGGCACATACATTGTATCTCATTTGGGAGAAGACCAGTGCCCAGGCGTAGGGTTAGCTCAGTTTCCCTCCTCCTTCCCCAAAGAGTGGCTCTGCTTCCTCCACTACCCCAAGGTGGCAAACTCTCGTCACCCCTTCCTCCTTCCTCTTCGTAACATTGTAGATTCAAAGCTCCTCTCCGATTCTCTCCTACTGTTTAGATTCCCATTCCACTGCAGTGCCCCCTCAGCCAGATAATCACCCCTTTCAATTCCCTCTGCTATGTCTTTGAAATGGTCCACTGAGTAACCCCTGCCCCCATCAGCTTCTCAACTGGGAAACCCCTGAAATGCTCCCAAAGCACCTCTGACACCTGGAAAAGCTCTGCCTTCCTCTTCCACTTTACCAAATAAAGCAAAGTCAAACCATCATCTGGAAACAGTGGCCACTTTTCACTGACCTCTCTTCAACTCACTCTGTGAGTTCACATCTGGTCAACTCACTCAATATACTGCTGGGCTCTCGCTCCCAGTTTCACCCCACCCTCCATTACAGAGCTCACCACGCCCTCCTACGTCACCATCCTCAATACACCCATCGCCTCTTAAGTCCCTATCTCAGCCCCTTCCCTCAGTGCTCAGATGCTTCCCTGGGTGAGGGAGACACTGGGGCACCCACAGAGGTTGGAGCAGGCTCCCTGCTCTCTCTGGATCCTGGACAGATGATCCTGGCTCAGTAAACTGTGGGGACTAGGTGCAGACTTTTTGCCTTCTTGGAGTCCTGGGTCTCCTCCGAGAGCCTGGGTCGTACTCCTCCTGCACCTCTAGAGGTCTCTGTGTCCCTAGTTTTCCTTCAAAAGAGGGCCATATTTCCCTTCTACCTTCCAGCTCCTCCCACAGGGGAGGAAGACAATAAATATTTGTTGAACTGAAAGCAGAGATTGCCTGGTCTCCCAGATCCTTCCTCAATTTCCCTCCTCTCTCATTGCTCCAGGAAATCCATTCTCTTCCCATTCCTCATTCACCATGGGGTCCCCTCTCCCCTTATTTAGGGCCCTTAGTGCTTCTTCTCAGTCCCCTCCCCATCCAAGCTCCTTTTCTTCCACCATTAGCGTGCCTCACCTTGTAGACGCCATCCTCTCTGGGAGTCGGGAGTCTCGATTTCCTGGGTTTCTGGGACACCTGGAAGCTTGGGAAGGCTGAGACACAACAACTCCAACCAGATTCCTGTCAACTGAGTAGGAGCTCAGGTGGGTGTTGCTCCTGGAGCTGGGGGTGGAGAGAGAAAAGGACTGAGAGGATGGAAGCGGGACAGGGAGTGTAGCCAGCAGGGTGACTCACTGGCCTAGATAAAGAGGCTCGCCTGCAGCACAGCAGAGCCAGCAGTGGCCTCTCCATCTTCACAATCCCTGCTCTGCTGGGGTCCAGAGTGAGAGTGGGAGCAACATGGCTCTCGGGTGAGGGCTGAGAGGGCAGAGTGGCCTCCATTGGAGAAAAGAGAGAATGTGGAGACCGTGGTGAGGTTCATACGACTTAAGTCCTGAGACAGGCAGGGAGAGGCTGAGGCTGACAAAGTCCCACATCCCAAGGAGGCCTGTGCTTGTCCCTGTAGGAGTCCCCTCCATCACCCCCAGCACAGGCCAACTCGCAGAGCCTCTGCTTGGCTCCAAAAGAATTCACCCCTACCCTAGTGCTTAACCCATTCTCTCCTATCAGGATGGTGCTGTCTGGTCCTGAACTTAGAACTGTTGAAACTCCAAGTCTAGAATCAGCAGAAATGTATCACATCGACAAGATGTGATTTCCTCTACTGTTACTTGGAAATAGCCACTTTCCCCCAGTGTGTCTTATGTTCTGTGGCACATCTGACCACCTGTGGCTGGCAGAATGACGTCCCCAACCCTAACACCATCAAAGATGTCCACATCCTAGTCCCTGGAACCTGGGAATTAGGTTACATGACAAAGGGAAGTTAAAGTTGCTGATGGATTAAGGTTGCTAGTCATCTGACCTTAAAGAGATTATCATGGATTATCCAGGTGGGTCCGGTGTAGTCACTGGGTCCCTTAATGTGGACGTGGGAGGCAGAAGAGGAAGTCTGAGTGACACAGTATAAGAACTGGCTGATATTGGCTTTGGAGATGGAGGAAAGGGACCATGAGCCAAAGAACACAGGTAGCCTCTAGGAGGTGAAAAAGCAGGGAAAGGGATTCTCCCCTGAGGCCCCTAGAAAGAAGCACAGCCCTGCTGACACCTTGATTCTAATCCACTGCAACCTATTTTGGACTTCTGTTCTCCAAAACTGTGAAGTTTAATAAAGCCATGCTGTCGTGAGCCATTCGGTTCATGGTGATTTGTCACTGCAGCAGCAGGAGTCAACCAGCATCTCATAAGGATGGATCCAGCCCCATTTCCCCTGCTAGATCCAGGGTCTCATAGGAGCAGCTCCTCCGATGGGGCCACTTCTGCACCCCAGAGCCTCCTGCAGGTGGGGGCCGAGGTGAAGATGTGAGGATGCAGGAGAAAGGCGTGCTGGGAGTGAACAGTCTGGACTCCAAAGAGAACCAAGAGTTTCTGTTGCTGAGTGTGGCGATTAAGAGAGTGGGACCCCAGGGTGGAGGTCCCTGTGCTGAGGGAAGCAGGGTGGGGGACGCTGGCAAGCAGGGATGGGCTGTGAGCCTGGACACCTGGGCCAAGAAGGGGCAGGGAGCTCAAGGAAAGGCGCCAGGGCAGGAGACACCCAGCTTCCTCTGGGACATTCATTCAAGTGGCACCTGTTGCCACAGACCACATTAGGAATGAGGGTGGAATGTGGAGGTTCATTGTCTCCATAGCTACTAGCCCAGCCTGTTTCTGCTGTCCCCCGCCCCGCTACCAGGATAAAAGCTGGCTGTCTTGGGGCTGAGGGAGATGCGGGTGCTGAGCAGGATGCAGGGCCGCGTGGCAGGGAGCTGCGCTCCTCTGGGCCTGCTCCTGGTCTGTCTTCATCTCCCAGGTACGGAGGCCATGCTTGACCCTTGGGCAGGAGGCACTGGAGGTCCCCCAGGAAAGAGGAGTTAAGGGAAGAAATAAAGGCAGGAGTGTACACATTTGGGTCCCTGAGGGAAAAGGAAGAATAGGCATAGGGGAAGCAGAGGGAATGAGGGAATCCAGGAAGGGAGACCATTGGTTGCTTTATCTTCTCTTTCCCTCAGGCCTCTTTGCCCGGAGCATCGGTGTCATGGAGGAGAAAGTTTCCCAAAACTTGGGGACCAGCTTGCCTCGGGTTGGACAGCCTTCCTTGACAGGCCCCTTTAACTCTGAACATCCTCAGCCCTCCCTGGACCCTAGGTCTAATGATTTGGCAAGGGTTCCTCTGAAGCTCAGTGCACCTCCACCTGATGGCTTGTCCCCTGCAGGAGGTTCTGGGGTGCAGAGGTGGCCTCCATCCCGGGGGCTGCCTGCCGTGGATTCCTGGCCCCCCGAGGATCCTTGGAAGATGATGGCTGCTGTAGCTGAGGATCACCTAGGGGGAGTGATGCCTGAAGAACTCTCTTACCTGTCCAATGCCGCGGCCCTCCCTCCAGGCAGTGACCCTTTGCCTGGGGAGTCCTCTGCCGACCCCACTGACCCCTCGTCCAAGGCTTTAGTCCTCTACCACGACTTGGAGTCCAGACGACTGCCCCCTTCTAATCCGCTGGGAGCCAGGGGAAAAATCCTTTCCCAACACCCTTTCTGGTCTCTTATCCACAGGCTTCTGCCTGGTCACCCCTGGGGGACCCTGAATCCCAGTGTGTCCTGGGGAGGTGGAGGCCCTGGGACTGGTTGGGGAATGAGGCCCATGCCATACCCTGGGGGAATCTGGGGCATCAATAATCAACCCCCAGGTACCAGCTGGGGAAATACCAATCGATATCCAGGAGGCAGCTGGGGGAATATGAATCGGTATCCAGGAGGCAGCTGGGGAAGTATTCATCTATACCCAGGTATCAATCATCCATTTCCTCCCGGAGTTCTCCAGCCTCCTGGCTCTTCTTGGAACATCCCAGCCAGCTTCCCTAATCCTGCACGCCCTGGGTTGCAGTGGGGCTAGAGCACGACAGAGGGAAACCCAACACTGGGAGTTAGAGAAGGAAGTCCTGCTCCCGCCCCTGTTGTGTGGGCTCAATCCAGGCCCTGTCAGCGTGTTTCCAGCATAATCCCCACTTTTCACTGCCTCCCCTGCTCATCTCCAATAAAATAAAAGCACTTATGGAATTTGCTTCTCCTCGGTGTCTTTGTTTCTGGGCATAAGCTGAAGTGAGTCTGTCCATTCCCGTTTTCTAGCCATCCCCACATCCCTCCAGGGGCCCCTGCAGACGCTCTCTTGCTATCCCATCCTTTGTAGAGGATCAACACCCGGGTGCTTGAAGGTGGAGCCTCACAGTCTCACCTCAGGCAGGTGGGAGACTGTTCCAGAACTGTGCTGGAATCTGAAAGGGGGAGGAGGCACAGCAGGACTGATTGACATGGCACCTACAGCAGGGGGAAGGGTGAGGTCCCTGAAGGTGGCTCCAGGACCAGGTGGACAGAATTCCTTGCAATTCACAGAAACAGAAAGCCAAGTCATAATGTCTGCGCTTCGCTTCTTTTCTTCCCCGGAAAGTCAAGCTTCTTGGAAGCAGAGGATGCATTGATCTCCTCCCTTACATGCATCATTTAGCACATTGTGTCCAAGAGAACCACAGACTTTGAACATTTGCTGAGTAAACAGCAGACCTTGATAAAGGAAAAGAGAAAAGGGAGAAAGAAAAGGGAGAAAAAACGTTGGAGCCAACAGTCCCACCTGGGGTGGCATTTGATGCTTTTATTCCCAAGCGATGACACAGTCTCATCCTTTGGTCACATTATGGTCTCGCCTGCTCTCCCTTTGGTTTTCCCAGGAGCTCAGCATCCTCACACAGGAGTTGGAGTGAGGGCAGTGAAGGGTCAGGCTACAAAAGTGCAGACGAAATTAGCAGGTGTGGGTGGGAGGTGGTTTGGTTCTGGATCCTCTTTTCCCCGTGCCACGCCTGCAGTGGTCCAGGTGTATGTAATCTCCACCCAGCCAGGTCCCTGGGAGTTGGGCAGCTTGTGGGAGGGGAGAAGGGAGTAGGAAAAACACCAGAACTCAAGGGATTTCCAGAGAAGATGCCCGGCCCCAGCGTCTGCCATAAGGCTCCACCCTGCACTGAGAAGTCCCTCCTAGAACACCTTCCCCAGAGCCCACCTTCCCCAGAGCCCACCTTCCCCATCAGCAGCCACACTCCCTTCCTCATCACCTCAACCTCTTCACCTGATTCTTTTCCCACTTTGGACTCTCTTGGTTTCTCCCTGCCCTAGGGTGAGGGGTGTCGTGCTGTTTTGAGCACCTGCCTCTTCCACAGCCCAAGGTCATTCTCTCTAGCCTGGAGTCTCATTTCTCTCTGTTGCTCCTCCTGGTTGCCTCCTCTCCGTAGTCATTCCTATTTGCACATTTACACTTTGTCCACAGTCCCCTGCTCTGTTCCCCAGACTCACTAGAGCATAAGCACCACGGGGACAGAGGCTTTGTCTCTTTTGTTCACTGCTGCACCCCCAGCACTGAGAACAGGGTCTGGCCCAGGGCAGGCACTGAGCAGGCACTGAAGGAATGGCTGATCCTGTCTCTCTCTCTGTCTCTCCCCACTCTCCTCCTCTCTCTTCTTCCACTCAGTTCCTGAGCCACATGGCTGCATGCAGTCTAATCTACACTCCTAGGTAGACTGTGGGCCTCCCGGAGCCTCCCTGACATTTCTCACGAACCTCATGAGCCCTTCTCAGCCCCAAAATACTCTGTGCCGTTCATCATTTAATCCTCATTACTCTCTGTGAGGAAAGTATTATAAGATTTTTGCGGCTGGGCATGGTGGTTCAAGCCTGTAATCCCAGTACTTTGGAAGGCTGAGGCGGGTGGATCACCTGAGGTCAGGAGTTTGAGACCAGCCTAGTCCAACATGGTAAAACCTCGTCTCTACTAAAAATACAAAAATTAGCCAGGCATGGTGGTGGGTGCCCGTAATCCCAGCTACTCAGCAGGCTGAGGGAGGAGAATCACTTGAACCCAGGAATTGGAGGTTGCAGTGAGCTGAGATCATGCCTGGGTGACAGAGTGAGACTCCATCTCAAAAAAAAAAAAAAATAATAAGATTTTTACAGATGGAGGAACTAAGACTTAGAGGGATTAAGCAACTCACACAGGGTTACAAGTGACAGAGGCGGTGACTCAAACCTCATTTTTCTCATTATCTGCCCAGGGATTGTTCAAGTACAATATGCAATTACCAGAAATAACAATAAACTTTTATTATACTTACATATGGGCCAGGTTCTGGACAAGGCACTTCCACATACATTCTTCCAGCAAATCCTCACAAGAACCCCATTGGGTGGGCGCTGCTGGGCCCACTGCACAGGGGAGACACTGAGGCCCAGAGAGGGTGGGGAGCCAAGGCGCACACACAGGCAACACCGAGCCAGAGCAGTGAAGTTCATCTGATGCTCGGGTGCTGGTGGCTCAAGGAAGACAGACCGCAAGGATAGAAGATCCGGGGGATGTGGCCAGTCCCCCCGGGTGGTCTTTGGCTTAAGGTTAGTGGTTGCTTTAAAGAAGTGGAACTGAGCATGGTGGCTCACGTCTGTAATCTCAGCACTGAGGTAGGAGGATTACTTGAGCCCAGGTGTTCTAGACCAGCCTGGGCAACATAGGGAGACTTCCTCTCTACAAATAGTAATTAAAAAATTAGCTCGTGCACTTAAAAAAAATTAAGAGTAGGCATGGTGGCTCACACCTGTAATCCCAGCACTTCGGGAGGCTGAGGCAGGCGGAGATCAGCCTGGCCAACATGATGAAACCCCGTCTCTACTAAAAATACAAAAATAAGCCAGGCATGGTGGTGCACGCCTATAGTCCCAGCTACAGGGGAGGCTGAGGCATGAGAATTGCTTGAACCTGGAAGGTGGAGGTTGCAGTGAACTGAGATTGTGCCTCTGCACTCCGGCCTGGGAGACAGAGAGAGACTCTGTCTCAAAAATAGTAATAATCATCATAAGAGCAAAAATAAACTAAAAAATTGGACATTAGCTTGGCATGGTGGTGTGCCTGTGGTCCCAGCTACTTAGGAGGCGAGGTGGGAGGATAACCTGAGCCTGAGAGGTTGAGGCTGCAGGAAGCTGTGATCATTCCACTGCACTCTAGTCTGGGTGACAGAGCAAGACACTCAAATAGAAAAAATGCCAGGTGCGGTGGCTCACGCCAGTACTTTGGGAGGCCGAGGTGGGCGGATCATCTGAGGTCAGGAGTTCAAGACCAGCCTGGCCAACATGGTGAAACCCCATCTCTACTAAAAATATAAAAATTAGCCTGGCATGGTGGCAGATGCCTGTAATCCCAGCTACTTGGGAGGCTGAAGCAGGAGAATTGCTTGAACCCGGGAGGTGGAAGTTGCAGTGAGCTGACATTCTGTCACTGCACTTTAGCCTGGGTGACAAAAAGGAAACTCTGTCTCAGAAAAGAAAAACCCAAAAACCAAACAACAACAACTACAACAGAAAGAGGGGGAGTGTTTTCAGTAATCTGTGATATAAGAAAGGTCCTAATATTTGCAACAGGGACCCCTGCTGGCATTCGGATCTTTACATTTTTATTAGTGGTTAATTGGTGGAAGCGGTGGCTGGAGTACAGGACTCATTCATTTCTCCTGTCCTAGGAGTTAGGAGACCAAGTTTCTCCTCCTGCCATGCAACCCTCTGTACTAGGTCACCTCAGACAAGTCATTGATCTCTTTGGACCTTGGTTTTTCTCAGCCTCCCTCACAGGGTTGCTAGGAAGAGTAGGTAAGATAATGATAAGGGGCCTTAGAGACTGGAAAACCCTGAACCATCATAAGGGATGGATCCTAATGTACCGCACTGTCCCAGTGAGGCGGTCCCCGCAGGACCACAGGATAGTTCCGAGTCCCACAGAGGAAGGCTGGTCTGGTGCAGTGGCTGTAGTTGACACCGCAGTCGACTGATAAGGTTGATGTGATGCTTTGGACTTGGAATTACACTTGAGAGAATGACTCCAAGATCAAGAGGAAGAGTTGAGTTGGCTTCTCATTTAAATGTTTCATCCTGCAAACAAACTGCATTCACTCAATCATTTGTCAGTAAAAAAGACATTTTTTACACACACACACTGTTGGGTGATAATAATAATAGATTCCTTTATGTATTTACCATGAACTAAATGTTACAGGGTTATTTATTTCAATTCTTGCAATTCTAAGATGTACTTACTCTTTTTCTTTTCTTTCTTTCTTTCTTCTTTTTTTTTCTAGCTCTGTCACCAGGCTGGAGTGCAGTGGAATAATCTTGGTTCACTGCAAACTCCAACTCCCTGGTTCAAGTGATCCTCCTGCCTCAGCCTCCTGAGTAGCTGGAATTACAACAAATTTTTATATTTTTTAGTAGAGAAAGGGTTTCGCCATGTTGGCCAGGATGGTCTCCATCTCCTGGCCTCATGATTCGCCCATCTCAGCCTCCCAAAGTGCTGCATTTACAGGTGTGAGCCACTGCACCCGGCCAGAGGGTGGTTTCTTTAGCACCTCTTCCTCTGTCCCTCCCTTCTCTGAATTCTGCGTTTAAACCACTCCCTGGCTACTCAAGACCATGATCCCTCTCGCCTCACCTAGTTAAAACCCACTTCCCCTGAGTCTTCCTGTCCACTAGGACATTGTCCTATGATGAATTCAGCAGAACTAACTCGGTTCATGATTAATAGGTGCAAAGATGATGAGTCTAGGAAGATAAAACCCATCTAGTATGTTAGTGACCCCTTAAATATCTGTCTCCTGCCTTCAAACTCAGGTGTCCCCCTCTTTTCCTGGGACACCCTCTCAGTGTCTAAAGGACGTTAAGGGATTCCTACTTAATGCAATTTTGTTTATCTTATGAATTTATTAAACAGCATTTGAGCATTAAATAATATTCTTCTATATATACACTACTATACAACTAATACATATAAATTTATGGATTTAATCCAAACTGACCGGGCGCGGTGGCTCACGCCTATAATCCCAGCATTTGGGGAGGCTGAGGTGGGAGGGACACTTGAGCCCAGGAGTCTGAGACCAGCCTGGGCAACATAAGGAGACCATATCTCTACAAAAGAGAAAAAAAAAAGGACAGGCAGTCTAGGACACAGGTACTGGAATTCCTAGACAACTCCTCATGCTGGGCTGGACTTATAGCCAATGGACTAGGGTGGCACTTGACCTAGGGAGATGCCAGCTGGCATGGCTACGAGAGGGTTTGTGCCACCCCTTCTCCAATCCCAGGCAGTGCAGCTCCTAGTAACAAAAGTGACTCCTTCCCTCTGCTTAAGGAGAGGTAAGCAACGGATAAAGAGGACTTGGTCTTGCATCTTGGATACCAGCTGAGCCACAGTAGGATAGGGCACCAGGCAGAGTCATGAGGGCCCCATTCCAGGCCCTACCTCCCAGATGACATTTTTAGACACACCTGGTCCAAAAGGGAAGCTGCTGCCTTGAAGAGAAGGGCCCAGTGCTGGCAGGATTCATCACCTGCTGACTCTAGTTTTGCCCTGAGGCCCTGAATAACTAGCAGCAATAACCAGGTAGTACACTGTGGGCCTTGGGTGGGACTCGGCGATGTGTTGGCTTCAGGAGTGACCCAGCACATTCCCAGCTATGGTGGCTATGGTGAAAGACAACTGTGGTTTGAGAAAAGCAGAGGGAAATGTCCAGGGGACTTTGTCTTGTACCTTAGGTACCAGCTCAGCCATGGTAGGTAGAGCCATAAGCAGCCTCTTGGAGTCCCCAAGTCTAGGCCTAGGTTCTGTTCTGGACCTGCCCCTCCAACTCAGGGCAGGTCCAGAGGGGAGCCTGCTGTCCTGAAAGGTAAGTCTCAGGCCTGACAACATTCCCCACAAGCTGACGGTAGAGGCCTTGGGCTTTAATTTTAATTTTTTTGAGACAGAGTCTTGTTCTGTCACCCAGACTGGAGTGCAGTGGCACCACCTGGACTTACTGCAATCTTCACCTCCCGGGTTCAAGCAATTCTCCTGCTTCCCAAGTAGCTGGGATTACAGGCACCCACTACCACACCTGGCTAATTTTTGTATTTTTAGTAGAGACAGGGTTTCACCATTTTGGTCAGGATGGTCTTGACCTCTTGACCTCAAGTGATCCAGCAGCCTCAGCCTCCCACAGTGTTGGGATTACAGGCATGAGCCACTGCACCCAGCCGCCTTTGGGCTTTAAGTGAACATTGGTGGTGACCTGGCAGAATCACGGTGGACTAGTGGTGGTGCTGCCGTAGGGAGATACTCCTGCCTGAGAAAAGAGGAGGGATGAGTGAGAGGGACGTTGTATTGTGGTGTGAGTGAGAGGGATGTTGTATTGTGGTGTGAGTGAGAGGGACGTTGTATTGTGGTGTGAGTGCCCGCTTAGGCACAGTAGAACAGAACATCAGGTAAATTACCAAAGTTTTTGACTTCAATCCCTGGCTCCCAGACAGCACCTGTGGACAAGCTCTGGGCCTAGGGTAACTTGTCACCCTGAAGGGAAGGCCCTTGGCCAAGACCCAGTGCTGTGCTGGCTTCAGGTCTGACCCAGCGTAGTCCCAGTGGTGGTGGCCACAGGGGTGCTTGCGTCACCACACCCCCAGCTCCAGGTGGCTCAACACAGAGAGAGAGATTCTGTATGTTTGGGAGAAAGTAAGCAAAAAGAACAAGAGTCTATGCCTGATAATCCAGAAAATTCTTCCAGATCTTATCCAAGACCACTAAGGCAACACTTCTAAGATTCTAGAAAACCAGAGTATTACTGGGTTTCCCAAGAAGGACAGGCACAAACAAGCCCAGACTGTGAAGACTACAATAAATACCCAACTCTGCAGTGCCCAGATACCGACAAACATCCATAAGCATCAATACCATCTAGGAACACATGACCTCATCAAATGAACTAAATAAGCTATCAGGGACCAATCCTGGGGAAAAAGAGAGATATGATCTTTCAGACAGAAAAATAGGTGTTTTGAGAAAACTTAAACAAATTCAAGATAGTACAGAGAAAGAATTCAGAATTCTATCAGATAAATTTAACAAGAAGATTGAAATAATTAAAAAGAATCATGCAGAAATCCTGGAGATGAAAAATACAATTGACATGCTGAAGAATGCATCAGACTCTTTTGAAATTTTTTTCTGTTTTCTTTTTTTTTTTCAAACAGAGTCTCAGTCTGTCACCCAGGCTGGAGTGCAGTGGCACAATCTCAGTTCACTGCAGCCTCTGTCTCCTGGGTTCAAGAGGTTCTCCTGCCTCACCCTCCTGAGTAGCTGGGATTACAGGTGCCCACCACCATGCAGCTGGCTAATTTTTGTATTTCTAGTACAAATGGGGTTTTGCCATGTTGGCCAGGCTGGTTTTGAACTCCTGATCTCAGTTGATCTGCCCGCCTTGGCCTTTCAAAGTGCTGGGATTTCAGGCATGAGTCACTGACCCAGCCTTTAAAAAATTCTATTTACTTTAATTTTTCAGAAAATACAGAGTCTCTGAATAGTAGAATTGATCAAGCAAAATAATTAGTGAGCCTGAAGACAGGCTACTTGAAAATACAGTCAGAGGAGACCAACAAATTCAAGATCGTACAGAGAAATAATTCAGAAGTCTATCAGATAAATAACATTCTACCAGACAAATGAAAAAAGAATAAAAACAATGAAGCATGCCTACGAGATATAAAAAACAGCTTCAAAAGGGCAAATCTAAGAGCTATTGGCCTTAAAGAGGAGGTAGAGAAGAGATAGAGGTAGAAAGTTTATTTAAAGAAATAACAGAATTTCCCAAACCTATAGAAAGATATCAACATTCAAATGCAAGAAGGTTATAGAATGCCAAGCAGATTCGACTCAAAGAAGACTACCTCAAGGCATTTAATGATCAAACTCCCGAAGCATCAATAAGTCTGGCAGCAGACTTTTCAGTGGAAACCTTGCAGGGCAGGAGACAGTGGCATGACACATTTGAAGTGCTGAAGGAAAAAAACTTTTACGCTGCAATAGTATATCCAGTGAAAATATCCTTCAGGCATAAAGGAGAAATAAAGACCAAAAAAAAAAGCTGAGGGATTTCATCAACACCAGATCACCCTACTAGAAATGCTAAAGGGAGTTCTTTAATCTGAAAGAAAGGGATGTCAGTGAGTGAGAATAAATCCCCTGAAGGTACAGAACTCACGGTGATAGTAAGTATATAGAAAAACACAGAATAGTGTAACACTGTAATGGTGGGAGGTAAACAACTCTTGTCTTCAAGTGGAAAGACTAAATGATGAACCAATAGAAACTAATAACTATAGTTTATTGCGGTACTGTTCACAATAGCCAAGATTTGGAAGCAACCAAAGTTTCCATCAACAGATGAATGGATAAAGAAAATGTACATATACTCCTCATTAGTGTAGTAGTGAGAAAACGAAGAAAAAAAAAGAAAAGATACGTATACATAATGGAGTACTATTAGGCCATGAAAAAGAATGACATCTTGTCACTTGCAACAATATGGATGGAACTGGAGGTCATTTGTTAGGTGAAATAAGCCAGGCATAGAAAGACAAACATCACATGTTCTCACTTATTTGTGGGATCTAAAAATCAAAACAATTGAACTCATGGACAGAGAAAGTAAAATGATGGCTACCAGAGGCTGGGAAGAGTAGAGCTGGGGGTGACATGTGGGGATGGTTAATAGGTCCAAAGAAATAGTTAGAAAGAATGTATAAGACTTAGTATTTGTCAGCACCACAGGGGACTATAGTCAATAATAATTTTTCTTTTTCTTTTTTTATGATGGAGTCTCCTTCCATTGCCCAGGCTGGAGTGTAGTGGCACAATATCTCGGCTCATTGCAGTCTCTGCCTCCTGGGTTCCAGAGATTCTCCTGCCTCAGCCTCCTGGGTAGCTGGGATTACAGCCATGCACCACCACGCCTGGCTAGTATTTGTATTTTTAGTAGAGATGGGGTTTCACCATGTTGATCAGGTTGGTCTCGATCTCCTGACCTCAGGTGATCTGCCTGCCTCGGCCTCTCAAAATGCTAGGAGTACTGCATGAGCCACTGTGCCCAGCTGGTAATAACTTAATTGTACATTTAAAAATAATTAAAAGAGTGTAATTAGATTGCTTGTAACACAAAGGATAAATGCTTGAGAGAATGGATACCCAGTTTTCTATGATGTGATTATGACACACCGCATGCCTGTACCAAAATATGTCATGTATCTCATAAACACATATACCTACAATGTACTCACAAAATTAATAAAATAATCAAATGAAATAAAAATAAAGAAATGTACAACCCAGGGAGTAGTTTTTAGTATAGCGAGGTGGGCAGATCATCTGAGGTC